GCTGATGGGCTGTGGCACTGGAGGAGGTACTGGATATCATATGTCTGCAAACGTCCAAGCCTCACCGTTATCAAAGACATCAATGCAGCGCAAGCTGTCTATAGCGGAAGCGAGATGTTTGGCCCCAGAGGAGAGAGGTGCCATGCCAGTGGCATGGCGGGGTAGCTACGTACCATCATGTTCGATGGTGTCTTTCCAATCAAGGCCGAACGAAAGGTGGTGGAAAGTACCCAGGATTAAGTGTCATCTACATACATGCAAGCGCACACTGTGCGGAAAATTCCGCATGTTTGGCGCACAAGCGCACCCGCACGGTGCGGCACACGGGGGAAATATTCACTAAAAAAAACAAAAGGTGTCGCATGGCTGGGTCAATGGTCACCGGCGTCTCCTTTAAAGATTCATTGTGGGATGGGGGGAAAACAAAACCTTGGGTAATGCCGTTACCTAAAGGTCAAGACTGATGTCCCAGACACCTTTTTGAGGCTATTTCTCATGCCCAATTGGACGGAAAGAAAAATCTGTAGGACTGTGCTTGAAAAAGATCAGTTCCTTAGGTGTTGCACACTTCTTCTTTCTTTTTTTTTTCTTTCTCTTTTTTTTTTTTTTTTCCCAAAAAAACAGAACCTTACGGTTCCGGCTCCTTTTCCATTCTGGGGAGCATCAGTCCGGTTCGTATTCCACCGGCAAGTCAGGCAAAATTACAATAAGAACTTACCCACGCTCCTCCCCCTTATGGTGTGGAGGCCCGAAGGACGGCATTGATTACTTCCTGACGGAAGGATGTACCGCCCCTCACCCCTGCCTAAGTTAGCCTGATGGACCTAATTTAGGCCCAGTCTATTCTCCTCCTTTCCTGTTTATTCATTATATTCCACTTGCATTGGTCGAGCTAGCTTGTTCCTCTTAGTTGCTTGGCTGTCGGCTTTGCTTTAAGTACTGGAACTGCTAACTGGCCTTTCCCGTCCCCTGTTAAAACCCTAAACCCTAGTATGCAACTTGTCCTATCTTTCTTGGCTCTTCCTGAAGCTTCCGTTACCCTTGGAATAGTGTGAATTGATCTCCCCTTGGGGAGTTTGTTTCAGTCCGGTCCGTTTTTTCCCTCTATGTCCCTAAACCCTACTCCCATTACCATCTGCGTCCCCTAAACTCTAAACCCTACTTTCTACTGTATCAGTCTTATTCCCTTTTGAATCTCCTATAAACCCTAACCCCTTTCCTTGCCTGCAACTCCCCTTTCTCCATCTACTTCCTTTAAACCCTAAACCCTACCCTCCACTACATGGGTCCTGTTCCTCCTTTTAATCTTCAATGTTATCCTGTGATTAGCGTTCTCCCCCTCTCCATTTGAAAATCAAATGCGCCCCTTGGATTTCTGCTACCGCTCCGTCACCTAGTACCTTTTGCTTAAATCTTTTCATGATTTCTTCCTCTTGCCCTGGCTGCTGACGTACCTGATTCCTCACTGCTTTCCACTGGGCCTTAAGGTGTGTTTCGATGAGGGTTAGGAGAATTTCCTTAGCTTCTTGTGTATGCATTGTTGTGCCTTCTATCGTGATTTGGCATCTACGCTTCCAAATAGTCCATAGGGCGTATTGTCTTATTAACTGGAACATATGCTTGTGGAAAGGTTGCCATTGCTTGGGAACTTGTGTACCCAGCAGTAAGGAAATCCTCGATTCTGGGAATGCAATCCCCGTGACTTTCCTCCAGGTGTCCTTGGCCATCTCCCAAATCCCTTGCGCCTCCTCACATTCAATCAAGCAATGTAGCATTGTTTCTGGAATTCCTCCCTGGCATACCCTGCACCACTCTTGTTCTTCACTTCGCTGCACTCTGCGTCTTCTTTGGTTAAGCCAGACTATTACTGGAAGTGCTACATGGGCTATAAGCCATTGCATGCTCCTGACCGAACCCAGCCTTATCGCCCCTAAGTTTGACCATGGGATGGATGACGATTGTCCTCGGGCAACCCCTACCCTCTTCTCCCATCTCTTTAGCAATATGGGAGTAATAGAGAGAGAACGCGTCCTCAATCTATACCCTATTTTTGTGGTGTAGTGTAGAATGTTTACTCTCCTTGATGTTCCCCTCTGACCACTTCTGGTATTCCACGCCCATTCCGCGGGATCCACTTCTAGCTCTTCTATTGGTACTGTCGGATTATATAATGTGAATATCTCTGTCTCCACCACCCTCACTTTCTGCAAATACCGTTTGAGGATATAAATCGGTGCTTTGGCTTCACTATCCAGTTGGGACGTGGTAATCGGTGGCTGAATTATGTCATATTTATCTGCAATTAACCAGTCTTGTCTGGAAGGCTCTAGCCCCCAGATTCTGAAGACCTCCTTGGGCTCTTCCTCGTCTACCCATGTGGCCCAATCCCCCAATCCCCACTTCGTTCCTGCCTGCAGCAGAAGCTTCCAATCTTTTGGCATGGCTTCTAAAATTATTCTTAGATTCTCTGGTACTCTGTGACATCCCTTTAGGTGTGTCCTTAGTTCCTTGACTGTTTTCCACCTCTTCTCCCCCTCTTCCCAGAGGTGTTTGACCGGGCACACTCCATGTTCTAGCCATTTACCCCATTTCACGTCTTTAACTGGAAGCGTCAGTGGTTTACCCTGGCTGTCCTTTATGCTTGTATTACAGAATAGCGGTTGTCTGAGCACTTCTTCCCTTGTGTTTGGTTCTCTTACCCTTGACGGAAAGATGTCCTTCCAAAGTTTAAGGAGTTGAACCCAGTATTCAGAGTTTCGTGCTACATCTACTTGCTCCATATTTAACCCCTCCCTGGTACCAACCTTTGCCCAATTACCACACATTACCCAAAACTGGCCTGACATGTTACCCGGAGTTTTGTATTTAGCCATTTGCCGAATCCTCTCCATTACTATCGGTGTCCACGATTGCCTTGGTTGAGTGATTAGTTTGGCCACCCATTTAGTCTGCAACGCCTTAAGCTGGATATCAGGGTCTAGCACACCCAGGCCCCCCTGCTGCTTGGACCTAGTTACATGTTTCCATGCTACTTCAGAGATAAAACGCTCGCTTTTCACTTTAGCCGTCCATAGATACGCTGCCGCTCTTCTTCTCAATAGGAGTGCCGAGGCTTTTGGTGGGGACCAAATGGACCCGGCATACCATAACATTGAAAAGATCGAAGCATTAAGTATGAGTGCCCTTCCGTGTACCGAAGTATACACTGCCGACCATGTCCCTAGTTTTACCAAAATTTTTGACATCAGGTCTGCTGCCATGGAGTGATGCATACCTCCTTCTGCTATTTTAATTCCCAGGTATCTGATAGGGGTCTGTGTCGTCGACCAGTGGAATCCATCCGGATTGTTGGTGGGGAGCATGTGTTGTTGTTCCTGTTCTGTTAACCACCAACCCATTGTTTTCTGCCAATTTACCTTCATTTCAGATGCGAGTTGGAAAGCCTCCATTGCTCTTGTGAGCGTCTGAAATGAGGATTCTGTCGCTCTTATAAGAACAGTTAAGTCATCTGCGAAGAGGATTGTGGTGGGAAGTTCCATCGTATGTCCTTGCTGATCCGGGGGTGTAATCAATCTCTGTATGGATGGATCTTTACGTAAGAAAGAAGCTACCGCTTCCATTATTAACAGAAAAATGGGAGCCGCCAGGGGATCTCCCTGTCGAACCGATCTTGACATCGCATATGTCGGGGAAAGGTGCCCATGGATTTGAACTTGTCCCTGTGTGTCATTGTACAAAACCCTTATCCATTTCCTGAAGTTCGGCCCTACTCCCATCCTCTCCATGGACTGCTGTAAAAAAGGCCAAGTAACTTGATCATATGCCTTTTCGAAGTCAAAGAAAAGTATTGCTGCATTCATTCTTTTGTCCCTGATATAGCGTACTGTTTTCGTTAGGGCCATGACGTTATCGAGAATGAACCTTCCTGGAATGAATCCTGTTTGGTCTATATGAAAGCAACTAGCAGTAATAGTTGATAGGCGATTTGCTAACGCCTTAGCTACTATCTTATGCGTCAACGTTAATAGGGTTATTGCTTATAATTTCGTATGTCCTCCGGGTTCCCCTTTTTGTAAAGTAATGTTACTATTCCTGTTGCTGGGTCGTGACCTAGCCCTTCCTTCTGCCATGCTTGCTCTAAAAATGTTAAAATCTCCTCCTCTAAAATAGGCCAGTATTCAAGCCAGAATTCCTTGGTTAAACCATCCTTCCCTGGGGTTTTATTTGCGGTCATTGATCTGACAGCCTCCCACAACTCATCTTGAGTCAGCGGGGCGTCCAGTCTGGCTGCCTGCTGTTGTGAGATCGTTGTTTGCAGATGATTAAGGAACTTTGTTCTTGCACCCGCAACCTGTTGCCTTGGAAACTCCTCCTCTCTTGACCTGTATAAGTCGCTGTAAAGTCAAAAGCAATCTTAAGCATCCCGTCTTTGTCAGAGGTTACACCCTGAGGTCCCTGGAGTTGGACTATGAGATTGTTTCTTCCTCTAGATTTGATTTTTTGGAAGAAGAATTTGGTCATTCTTTCGCCTTCCTCCCATTCTCTGACTCTTGCCCTCATTTGCATTCCTCTTGCTTTCCATCTCTGCCAGTCTGCCATTTCCTCCCTTGCCACTTCCAACGCTGTTTCGTACATGTCATTTCCAGGAGAGTTGATTATGTTACGCTCTGCCAATCTAATTACTTGTTGTAGTTCTATCTCTCTTTCCTTTCTCCTAGCTGCCAATATCCTAGCCACTCCCGCCGAGGCTCTGGACAACGCTGTTAGCAACTGAGGGAAAGACTGCGTATCGGGGTTTGACACACCTGGAGCACAGCCCTCCTCATCTCCTGTGTTCTTAATAACGAGTTGTTTATCTTGTAGAGTCCTTTACCCCTTTTGACCTGTTTGTCTGTTACCAAGTGTAGGTGGATGGGCTTGTGATCTAATCCCATTCCATACGGCAATTCCCCTATGCTTACCGATTGTATCATCCCGGTTATTCCTGGTGAAGTTAGGAAGTAATCAATCCTTGAGGCTGATATATGCTGGCTACGACTCCTTTTTAGGTATGTAAACTTTCGATTCCTTTTGAGGTATGTAAACTTTCTTTGTTCCGGAAAATGAAGTCTGTAGGGGTCTATGAGATCTGTAGTGGTCATTAATCTATGAACTGGTAGGGCCTCCTCTGCCAAGCCCTCATCCCAAATCCTACCTCCTGCTGATAATCTGTCTAAGTTGGGGTCCAATGCCTCATTCCAATCTCCCACAATTATCAAATGCCTCTCCGTCTCTAACAGCTCCCGGAGGCGATCTATGAACACCCCCCGCTGCTGTAGAGAGTTAGGGCCGTATACTGAAATCAACGTATAAGGTTCATCGTGTAATTCAAAATTAACTTTTACCCATCTTCCTTCCGTCTCATCCACCTCCGCAGTTGACCTTTTGTTTTGTATTATAGCCACCCCTGTAGAATGCTGGCTATTTGCTGGAGCCCACCAAGCCTCCTTTACCCTTTGAAGTTTCTGTAATACCTTATTCTTGATCTTCTGATGCTCCATTGTTTCTTTAAGGTGTGTTTCTTGCAAGCAGATGAAGTCCGGCGGTGAGGCATCGAACCAACCCGTATAGTTCAACACATTCTGCCATTTATCTTGATTTTCCATTATCCCTACCATTCCATTTATGTTCCATGAAGTTATCCTAACCTCCAGCTGGTTGCAATTCCCTTGGTCTATCCTTAGCCTCTTCCTTGGCCTGCCCTCTCTTCCTTCCTCCATGACTTCCTTACGTTTACATCATGTCTCCCCCCAAGTGCCTCCTTATTTTAGACTCCCTGCAAAGTTTCTTCTACTGCTGTAGACACCAGCGCGATTCTTTTTTCCAGGAATTCTGGTTTCCAAGCGAATGCATCTACCTTAGCAGCCACAGCAGCACAGCAGCACAGCATGCTACCCATTCCGCTGTGATCTCCCCCCCCCCACAGTGCGTATGGTATGTATCTACAAAAACAGCAAAAAAAAGACAAAAAGAAGGGAAACTGCTGTTGGTACGGCGCACAAGAAGGTGCTGCGCCGCATGCCGCGGGGTGCACCGGATGGCACGGCGCATGGTGCGGTTGCAAGTATGGTCATCAATAAACGGATAAATAAATGCATATTCTTGTGCTGCTCGAAGATAACACTGACAAAGTCCATCGATGAATGGGGCCTCATTCCAGTAGATAGTAAGGTTGGTGATTGCTGGTGCAGCATCAATGCCCATGGGGATGCCTAGAACCTGATGGCGCAAAGTGCCATCTGGCACATAAAGACAGGAGTTAGAGACCACAAACTGCAGATGCTGTTCTATGTCTGACACTGAGAGACTGTCACAGCTTTGTGAAGAGACCCTCCCCATGACGAGGGCCCTGGACTGTCATATTCATTTGTACTGGCCGACTTTTGCAACACGTAACCCTGTGTCTCATGCACTGTGTTTAGCACGTCATTAAGAACCCGGTCATGTGGCAGGGTAGTATACATTGGGGTTAAATTTTCTGCGGGCTGCGGATGGAGTGTGCACTGTGCTTGAGATTCAAGGTGGCCGCCTCAGCACTCCTAACATTTTAGTTATCCAATAACTTTGGATACCGCATTCTCGAAAGAGTTCGGCATATACTGTGAAGAGGAGTGATCACTCCTTAGAGAGCATAGCTGAGGGAGTGAGGGCATCATTCTTGAAAGGGGTTTGTGGGAGGCCTGTCATGGAGAGCTGAGACCGAAGGGCGATGGCTTTTGCTGGGGTGAGGTCCAGGCTGAGAAGGTTACGTTGAGTGATTCTAAGGATAGGGAGAAGACCATCAGGAAATTTGTGCTGTGAAAGTAAAGTAGAGATATATGTTGTTTCCGTAGAGCATGGCGATTGTGGATGTCGGCCACAGGTTGTGCATGTGTGTGTGTGTGTGTGTGTGTGTGTGTGTGTGAGTGTGTGTGTGTGTGTGTGTGTGTGTGTGTGTGTGTGTGTGTGTGTGTGTGTGTGTGTGTTATACCATTGTCCATAGGTGCACAATTGTGTATAGTTTTGTGTGCGGTTGTGTTGCCTGGATCTGTTCCTGTGCATAAATGTCAAGTGCAGTAGCCAGTGAAGAAATGAGACAAACAAAAACTGAACCCGGTTTCCAGCAGTTGCTGCTCCCCACCAATAGACCGGAGCGTACAGCTTGTGAGTCTGCAAGGGGGGAACACTCTTATCACCCAACCTTACAGTCTGCATCTGGCCGTCTTTTCTATTAAAAAAAAAAAAAAAAAAACCTGAACCACCTTCTCCCCGAATTTCGAACCATCATTGTCCTACTCTTATCTTTCATTGCAACTTCTCTGCATGTCCTCTTCTTCTCAGATTCCATATCTATTTTGAGTTCCTCTGTGTGGGAACCATGAGAACTTGCCCATCCACTTGACCTTCTTAGGCAGGTCTGGGTGCGTAGGCAACCGTGCCTAGGTCCGCAGAGAGAGAATGTGAACATGTCTGAATTGCTTCTCTTTGTCGGTTTTGCAGGCCTTTGAACATCTTATAGATAACCATATGTTGACTACTGACGAAGGTATGTATTAACTTTTAAGCCTTGACAGAATTCTGTGGGGGAATCAAAAGCTTCTTCCTTAACCTTTTTCTAAACACGAAACTCCAGTCTATGAGTGGGGAGGGAGCAGGTCTCCTGACACAACTAACTCCAGTCTATTAATGATATGATGAGAAGGTTCTGCTGGAAATCGGGTCCAATGTCGCTATTGGAAACAACGGTCGGGTCAATGAATCGATGGTGGGTCTTGGGGTTGTTGGAATGATCAAGGTTAAGATGATGTTCGGGTTTCAATGATTGCGTTGACTCTTTACACTATGATGTGATCATAATACCTATTGGAAACAACGTTGGGTGGAATCAGAAGTTTCAGTGCATGCTGAACGCTAACCGTGTTATCCTTTTTTGGGGGGGAGTCCGTCTTGTAGAAGCATTCCACATTGACGGCTGCTTGTCCGTGTGCATGGCCCAGTTTCTCAGTCTCTTGCAATTCAGGTCCTGAAGCGGGACAAGAAAAAGAAGAGTGCGGGCAGTGTACTGTACATATCTGGGATCTGGACTGTGGAGGGAAATGAGGCTCGTGTGCTTTCTTTTTGGTAGTATATGTTTTATAGTTTGTGACGAGTGTGTTCGGTGGTCACATTTTTCATTCATGATAGAGTATGGGGTACTAAAGAGAGATTTGTCACTTGTATGCAAACTGCTGTTTGGAGAGTCTTTTTTCCATGCTTTTGGGATCGTTGTTCTCACTCAATCTCTTACGGACACATTTTCCCTCAAGAGTGGTGTGTTCTATCTTCTCTCTCTCCATCACCGCCAGTGATCGAAGCTGCATATTGACGTCTGATGCGAAGTTGAATGCAGTCACTAGTCACTCACGACCGGTAGGTAACGGCAAGCTCCAATATCGATCTCGGAGGTTCTAACTTGAACATTAAATTCTCAGATTGGAACTCGAACATCAAACTTGGGAGTATGATTCTCATGAGAGACACCAACTGAATCTTGACACCGTGGCCACAATCGTCTTTCCAAATATATATGTCTATATATTGTCACATATCTATGAACTGAAAGAGCACACTTTGCGAAAGAAACAAAAAGAAAATAGACGACAGCATGAAGTACACAAACGGTGACACCGTTAGTTTTCCTTTTTTTTTTTTCTTCTTCTTCTTCTTCTTTTTTTTTTTCTTTTTTTTCTGAAGTCCAGGGTGTTGTAGAGGTCGGTATCTGGACCCACGACAGGTACCTATCTACAGTCAGCAACTAATTTTATGGGACGCAGACCATCCTGTCTTGGAGGATTCCCCTCAGACAGCCCCTACTGCAGGTTCCCCAACGATGTCCTCCACCAGTCTTTCTACTAACACCCGTCCTACCGGGATCCCTTAATAGGTACCTGTCGTGGGTCCAGATACCGACCTCTACAACACCCTGGACTTCAGAAAAAAAAAAAAAAAAAAAGAAGAAGAAGAAGAAGAAAAAAAAAAAGGAAAAGTAACGGTGTCACCGTTTGTGTACTTCATGCTGTCGTCTATTTTCTTTTTGTTTCTTTCGCAAAGTGTGCTCTTTCAGTTCATAGATATGTGACAATATATAGCCATATATAATCGGAAAGATGATTGTGGCCACGGTGTCAAGACCCAGTTGGTGTCTGTGTCTCTCATGAGAATCATACTCCCAAGTTTGACACCTCCTACCGGGATCCCCTACTGTAGGTTCCCCACCGATATCCTTTAGCAGAGCTTGTCCCAAGCCAACCCTCCCCCCAAACGGGACCCCGTCCCACTTATGGTCCTTGCCCCGCCCAAAGCAAAGCCTAAGGTAACCAACACACATGAGCAGTCTAACCACAAACCCCTAGCTGCATCCCCATTAGATCGCTAACTGTCTCAGGCAAACTCCTCATAGGCCAGGACGCCACATACAACACGATGGACAACCCTTGGGTGGTGCGCAGGCAGTGTCTGTAATAGCTTACCATGCGTCAGCCCAAGGGGTGTGTGTCCAGCCGTGCGTCATTCTAACGCCCTGCCGGTGGCCATGCGTGAGGCTGCGGATTTGAACCCGCAACCTCATACCATAATGCGCATTTCCAACCGGTGCTCTAACCACTGAGCTACATCATTTCAACATATCAGCTTTCGTGAGTGGTTATTTCTTTTCTCTGTTCTGACTTTTCTTTGTGGTTGATCTTTTGTTTTTTCTTTCGGTTCTCCCTGTCCTTTTACTGGACCTCGCCAGATTGATGTAATTAATGCCAAGCCCCGTACATCCCCATGTGCCTAAACGCCCCACTTGCACGGCATCAAAAAGAGGCCGAGTAAAAGGCGAGGGAACGAAAGGGAGAGGAAAGATGGAAAGAAGACTAACCAAAGGAAGGCAAAGGGAAAGTTAAGGCATGGGGCAAAGGTGAGGGCATAGGGAAAGGATAAGAGAAGACTCAGGACTGGGTCTGCCCTTGATGACAAAGAGGACATGACCGGTGGGGATGAGGTGGGTGATGAGATGAAAGACCTACCTATGCATTCTGATGTGTGTTTGTGTGTGTGTGTGTGTGTGTGTGTGTGTGTGTGTGTGTGTGTGTGTGTGTGTGTGTGTGTG